TTTTGCTTTTTTTTTAATGTTGAATTAAAAAAGATTAATTACTCACATCCCAGTATTATTTTATGACATTTATGTAAGAAGACAATATAAGTGAATGTAAAAAAACACAAGGCAACCAACAGCATTCAGGGAAACTCTTTCTTGTATTCCTTTAATGGGCAGTCTTCACTGAAACTCATTCAACTTCCTACAGAGAGAGAAAGATTGCAGAAAGACTAAAAACTTAAAAATATGACAACTAGCATCTGGTTATGATCGCCATTAAGGTGTTTCTCGCGTTATCTAACTGCAAATATAGCATAATTGCCTATCATCTAAAACTAAACATTAACTATAACGCGTTTAATAAAATACAACTAGGCTACTAGCCAGATTTCCGAGAGGTAAACTAATGCGTTAAAATGCCAAAAACTGCTGTAATTTCCTCAACTTTCTGGCGAGTGTGCCTGACAAGCACTGAAATGAATGGGTTTCATTACTGGAGCTATTGTTTTTTTTTTAATTTTTTTTATTTAAAACATGATTATTATTTTTTTTATTGCAGTAAACAGCAAAGATTTACTGGAACTATTGGTTGTTTGGAACCAGGGACGCGGCTCTTCTGCTCACAACGCAATTAATATTCATGAGGCATGACTATCTACTATTGGTCTTCAGTGATTCAGCGACTTTGACCGCATTAGAAACGTAAAGAAACAGACTTAATCATTTAATTTTAACGAGTCGATCTGTGAATATTTAAGGCAGATATAAAGGCAGTAGTTTCGGTGTTTGAGTTTCACTTTCGATTTGAAGAAAAATTGTAATTTCGTCTAAGGGGCGTCAGAATGGAGATCTGCAGTCTTGTAACTGAGAAAAATGAGTCAGGTACGAATTCACCTGTTTGTTGTTACCTGTTTCTTAAATTAAAACTTTTATAATACGTAGGAGAGCTGAGGTGTTTTTGACATAGGGAAATTGGTCGCGAGGGTTTTAAATCTCAGTATTTAACAGAATTTATTTGTTTCTTAGAGGATAAGAAAATTATTTTTCAACACATTTTGTCACACACCCTGCTCTCCTATTCAGTTATTTATTTTATTAAAGCCAAGATTTATCTCTCAGAGAGCTGTATGTGAGGAGGAGTATATGTGATGTTGTTCTGCTGTATTTGTGGTGTTGTGTTTGTGTGACTCAGTGCCTCTGAAGAGCATCTCAGTGCAGGTTCGGGTTCAGGATCATGTAGCCACAGTCTCCTCCACTCTGCAGTATGTGAATGAGGAAGAGCGCCCCCTGGAGGCCTTGTTCGTCTTCCCTCTGCCTGCTGATGCTGCTGTCTGCCACTTCAGTGCCAAGATCGGAGAGCAGGAGATTGTGGCAGAGGTGCAGGACAGAGAAAGCGTGAGTCCAAATAGAAATCTGCAGGACATTGATTTGTATATTCGTGCTACACATCACCATTTAACAAAACCGTATCTTGCAGGCGAGGGATCAGTATGATGATGCTGTGAGTTCGGGTCAGCAGGCGTTTCTGTTGGAAGAGAGCGCAGAGAGTCCTGATGTGTTCAGACTGAGTGTCGGGTGTCTGTCGGCGGGTCAGAACGCTGCCGTCACCATCATCTACGTCACCGAGCTCGCTGTGCAGGCCGACCACTCGCTGCGCTTCTGTCTGCCGGCTGTACTCAACCCCCGATACACACCAGCAGGTACTGCAGCAGCTGCTGACACACACTTTATTAGAGGAGAGAAGCTGATTCTAACACACTCTGTGTGTGTGTGTGTGTGTGTGTGTGTGTGTGTGTGTGTCAGGTTCAGGTGCTGGTATCGTCTCAGAGATTTCATCAGGATGTGGAGCTGTTCCCTACACGCTGACTCTCAGTGTCCATGTGAGCTCTCCAAAGCCCATCTCCAAACTAGAGTCCAACTGCTCTCTGGATCCTCTAGTGTTCCTCCACTCTGATCACACTCAGGCTACGGTACTGTGTATCTTCATGTCAGGGGTGTAGCGTCTGGGTATGCAGGGTATGCACGTGCATATGGGCCCGGGCTGATTGGGGGCCCGTCGAGGGGGACCTTTTAATTAAAACGAGCGAACGTATTCTTAATTAGTGGCCACAATAAATATGCCGTAGAACTTTTGCTTTGGAACAACTGATAGATTAATCAGACCAAAGATTGCCCATTTAATATAACCAAAATGAATTATACCTCACGTAACACCGTCTACAGAAGAGCCAGCGGCAAATTCCCGAAGGACTGCAGAACTGCGCGCATTTTCTAAAACTATGCACATGTGCTGCATTGCCACGGTCAAATAAAATAAAAGTTAATAATAAAAAATAAAATAAAAAACCTGTGTGAGGTTGGTATCTAGCTAGTTGAAAAGACTGTATCACATCTAGCTTCAGCGACACCTGGACAGTTTTAATTCTCTTTCTTACATTTGAATTCTCTTTTATCAAAACACCATTGTAAGTAGAAATTCTTTCCATTGAGTATACACGAAGCCTTAAAAAACAACAAGGACATTGTGGATGAATTTGCCGAAAGAAAGCCCCAGAGAATTAAATTAAATGAAAATTAATTACAACTAAACTGTGAGTAGTTTTTTGCTTTTGTTTTTTCCTCTTTTTGCGTTTTGGGCCGTTGTGCCAAGAGTGTGTTTGCATTAAGTAGCCAAATCTAGTAAATATGGCAGCGTTTAGTGCTATAATATTTTTAGAAAAAAAGTCAAAATTATGAGATTAAAGTTGTGTTATATTGCGTGAATAAAGTTAATTCATAACCTACTAAAAAAAAAGTCTGTGGCGGTTAACTGACTGATTTATGAAAATAATAAAACAATGTTGGCAAAGTTAACAACAAGGACATTGTGGATGAATTTGCCGAAAGAAAGCCCCAGAGAATTAAATTAAATGAAAATTAATTACAACTAAACTGTGAGTAGTTTTTTGCTTTTGTTTTTTCCTCTTTTTGCGTTTTGGGCCGTTGTGCCAAGAGTGTGTTTGCATTAAGTAGCCAAATCTAGTAAATATGGCAGCGTTTAGTGCTATAATATTTTTAGAAAAAAAGTCAAAATTATGAGATTAAAGTTGTGTTATATTGCGTGAATAAAGTTAATTCATAACCTACTAAAAAAAAAGTCTGTGGCGGTTAACTGACTGATTTATGAAAATAATAAAACAATGTTGGCAAAGTTATATTTTGGCGTTTCTGAGGTAAATGTTATGTTACGATTGTAATAACTATTATTGACAATTTTCGAAACACTGATTGATCGATTACACGAGGCATTCATTTTTATGAAGTTGTTATGATTTTTTAAAACATGTCTTCTGATATACATTCATGTTTATTTCTTGCTGTAGAAAAGAGGAAAAGATGATTGATTCATATGCCGCTTGAACTCAGGCAAATAAGTTTTCTCACGCCACATTAAAGAGTGGAAAAACAAATTTTTTGTTTGTATTTCGTGATAAAATTGACAGAACTTAAAGGCTACGATTTGTGTTATATTAAAATCAAAACATGCTTATTGCGATTATTAGGTGGCTGCTACAAATAATGAAAGTTAAATATTATTACCAAGCATTTATACCGTCAATAAAACAGCTTGTGAATAGTCATGTAATGTTATTTACCTCAGAAAAGACAACATAAGGAGTGTTGGAGCCCACATGAACCTATAACGTTTGGGGGCCCGTACAAATGTTTTTGCATATGGGCCCGGGGCCGACTTGCTACGCCAATGCTTCATGTGTTTATCTGGATGTGTGAGCAGAGCAGTTTTAAGCATGTGTTGTTTATGTGTGCAGGTGAATCTGAGTCCTGGTCACATGTTTGATAAGGACTTTGAGCTGTTTGTGTTCTATCAGGATACCCATCAGCCCTCTGCTATAGTGGAGGCAGGAGTGACCACTGCCCCGCCAGGTAAGACCTGCAGCTCACTGGCATTATGGGATTGAGTGACCAAGCTTTCACCGACTCTTTCTCAATTTTTTCAGGCTCTCTGATGAGGGACCCAGTGGTCATGATGAGTTTGTACCCAGAGTTCCCGGAGGAAGTGATGTCATCACTGGCAACTCAAGGCGAGTTTGTTTTTGTGATTGACAGATCAGGCAGTATGGGAGACATGATGCATCATGGGAAAGGAGCACAGATGCGCATTGAAAGTGCAAAGGTAAGATTTAAGATTCAAAACAGCATTTATTTAAATGTTTTGAGATGAGACACATTTAAAGTCATCATGAAACTTGGTTCACAACCAATTTTACTTCTATTTTGTGACATTTCTGAGGAAAACAGGACTTTAATGAGGAAGAATACTGTAGTCTGGGTCTGTATTTTATCCATCTACATTTCATATCAGACTCCAGTCAAGTGGTTGGTGGGTGACATAATAAGTTAATATGTTTTGATAAAAGATGAAAGACAAACCATATTTTCTTTGTGCACAATAAAACCAGGAATGCGCATTAGGAAAGTAAATACAATAGTTATACTGCATCTTGTATGCTGTAGTAAATTCTGGAGTTTTGTTCTCATGTTCACTTTCTATCCATGTCTCTCTATAGGACACTGTGTGTTTCTGTGTGTCTTTGCAGTCAGAGTGTCGTGTACAATCAGAAAACAATGGATCAGGCTCTGAAGAAAGTGAAGGAAATGCAAGCAGACATGGGCGTAGAAACACTGACAGCAACACTGCTTCAGACCAACTCACCTCTAAAACACCTTTTAAATTATCAAACTAGAAAAAAAAGCCTATTGTTGCCAACAGTAATTTTCACTATAGAATTATAATCAGTACAAGTAACACAAAATGGCTAAATTCATGCTGTAATATCATAATAATATGGAAGCATAATATAATAGGACCATACCTGTGATTTATTTTATCTGAATCAAGTTGACCAATATTGTTTTATATAATTGAACACTCATTGTTTTATAGTTTAAGTATTATTTATTACTAATTTATGCCCCATTCAACCTCTCCCCTCTATGTAATGAGGACTTACAACCCCAATTCCAGAAAAGTTGCCATGTTTTGTAAAATCCAATAAAATCAAGAATCTGATTTCCAATGTTTTACTGGCCAACTAAAATGCATTTTGTAAATATAATTTTTTTTATTTTGATGGCTGTGACACACTCCAGAAAAGTGAAAATTAATAAAAGTGAAAAGATTATAGAATATCCATGTTAAACTGTTTTGAAACAGTCCACAATAAGCAGGTGAATTTGTAATAGGTTAGGGGATTATGATTGGGTGTAAAAGGGACATCTCAGTCTTGGCCAGGAAAGCTGGATCATGGCTCATTACTTTGTGCCAAATTTCATGACAAAATTGTCAGAAAATCTAAAATCACATTTCTAAGTACAAAATTGCAAAGAATTTGGTATTTCACCACCTACCATGCATAATATTGTGAAAAGTTTGAGGGAATCCAGAGAAATCTCAGCATGCCTAAGGCAAGGCAGGACACCTCAGATGAATGTGCATGACCTTTGAGCCCTCAGATGGCATTGCATGAAAAACGTCATGCTGCTGTGTGAAATATAGCCACATGGGCTTGGGGGTACTACGGAAAACCGTTGTCACTTCACACAGTCTGCCGCTGCTTCAAGAAATGCAACTTGAATCTCTATTTACACAAGGAGAAATCTATACATCAATTCTAGGCAGAGACGCCAACGAGTTCTCTGGATCCGAACTCATCTCATATGGTCCAAAAGACAGTGGAAATGTGTGCTGTGGTCAGATGTGTCCACATTTTAACTTGTTTTGGGGAAAACAAACATCAAATTTTCAGTGGCAAAGACAAAAGGGACCATCCAGACTTTCATCAGCGACAAGTGCAAAAGCAGACGTCTGTCATGGTATGGGGGTTTATTAGTGCAAACGGCATGGGTGACTTGCATATATTGGGATTGTACAGACACATACTGCCATCAAGATGACATCTTATTAGATCAAGACAATACCAGGTCTCATTCTGCATGTGCTACAACAGCGTGGTTTTGTAGTCACAGAGTGAATGTGCTTTACTGGCCTGCCTGCAGTCCAAATCTGTTTCCTATTGAAAATGTACTGCCCATCATGATAAGGAGAATCAGAGAACGATGACTACAGATGAGCAACTGAAGTCTTGTATCATGTGAGATTGGGGGGAAATTTTGCTTGCAAAACTTAAAAAATTAGCATTCCTTAATTTCCAGATGACTGTGGTAAACATGCCTCTGTCTCAACTTTTTTTGGAGTGAGTTGCAGCCATCAAAATCAAAATCTGTTCATATTTACAAAATACAATGAAGTTAGCCCGTGAAATCATTGGAAATCTGTTCTTTGTACTTTTGACAATTAAATAAAGGTTAAAGAGAATGAACAAATCACATATTCGTGATTTTATGGCATTTTGCCAAACGTCACAGCTTTTTTGGAACTGGGGTTGTAATTCTTTAAACCTTTTTATGTGTAAAATGAATAGTTGCCCATATATTTGACTGCATATTGTGATACCTAAACTGATTATCAATTTAGTGCATTGTTTTTAGACAGAATAATATAGCTTTTTAAGATCAGCCATTTAGTGGTTTTCAGCTGTAAGATAATAATAATTATTGGCTTATTTATACAGAATATCTGTGCTTCCCTATCTGAGTTACTTAGTGTCAAATAAGTAATGCTTTATTTATTTAGTTTATTTACTGAGAGATATAATGGAAAAGTGCTCCCTTCCTACTCATAGCTGTTGCATCATCTCTCCAAAAATAGTTTAATGAGTTATTTTTATAGTATGTAACACAATATAGTAGTGCATTACTTTTATCCTCAACACATTGTATCAAATGTTAGTTTTTTGTTAAATAAAATATATTCTATTTTTCAGTTGCAGTTGAATCAGCTGTTTGCTTTTCTAAGCCAATAATAATTCAACAAATTTCCTCCATGTTTCTGCAGGTTGTCCATCCACCGGCTGGCGGCTCGGACCCTGATCCGTTCTCTGGAGCTGGAGGAGAGGTCAGGTGCTGCAGATGTTGAGGGCATCAGGAGCAGGATGGTGGAGCTCAGTGTTCAGGCAGGAGTGAGCAGTGTTCATACAGCCTTCATTGCTGTTAATAAAGACAGCAGACAGACTGTGAAAGGACCCCTGCAGCAGAGAAGAGTGCCGACACGCGGTTAGTGCTCTCATTGTATGTGTGTGTGTGTGTGTGTGTGTGTGTGTGTATAAATCGCTTTTACTGTCATTTGACTGATTTAATGTATCATATTAAGATATGAAATCAAATGTTTTTCAGATTTGTCTTTAGTAATTGCCATGATGCAAGCAAATTGTGGTAAGACAATAATCTGTTATTTAAGCATAAAGATTTTTGCTCATCACCCTGTTTTCACCTGCATTCCATCAGCTTATTGAAGTGTACGTGTGATATGTGACAGGAAAGCGTCCCTGTGGCAAATTTAAGCACATTCAGCCACAGTGAGTGTTTTGCAGTAGGAGAGAAGGAAATATATCTCAGACTTCCAACTCTTTTTTTTTTTGACCCAAGAAATTATAAAAATATGTTCTCATTTCGTGCTGCCATAGGACAATTGGTACAGTCATAGAAATTTTAGATTGTTTTTTTCACAGGAAAAATAAACATTTAAATATGTTATTTTAATTATCAAAGATGAGTTTTAATGGATAAAATTAGTGACTGCAGAGGGACTTTAATAAAGTCTTGTAAATGTGGTTTACTTGAATTGCTGGGTTATTGATTTGCATGTAAACCTGTAAACCATGTTTTTTTTCTCAGTAAAATGATGGTAGTTGTCAGCGTATTAGTGTGCATGTAAATGTGCTCATTGTGTGTATAAATCGCTTTTACTGTCACTTGACTATTTGATGTGTTCACCTCATTAAGATGTGAAATCAAATGTTTTCAGATTTGCTTCTAGGAAGTCTGATGGTACTATGTGTTAAGACAAACAACAGTCTGTTACTTGTATGTAATGATACACACTACCAGTCGATTAAACTAGAAATTCAGACACACTTTGTTTGTCATAATTTAAGTTTTGTAAACAAATAATATATAATATAATTTTGTGTGTGTTATTTTTTCTTCAGCTGAACTAGGAACCCACGCGTCACAATATTCTGCATGTAAGCGAACAAAGTCTTAAAAAACTTTTCTTGTTTGCTTGCTTGTTTTGCTTATTTACATATATATTTCTTTGTGTTTGTTCTCTTTTGTTATTCCTCAATGTCTGAATGTTTTGACAGGCTTTGCAGATGAACAATCGTTTCGATGCTCAAAAAAGAAGACCCTGAGAACGTTCACAGAGCGAGCTTTCTTAAAAATGTCTAATTGGGTACCAGAAGGTAAGTGAACCAGACATATTCAGATGTACAGAATAAATCACTGAAAGGCCTTTTCACATGACTTGAGTTTGAAAACAAGTAGGGAGACAGGCTTAAACTCATTTTGAATGGTCATTTACACTACTGCAGGTTTTGAGATACTGTACACATACACACACACACACACACACACACATATATATATATATATGTAAACTACATATATCATTTTTAAATATGTTTTTAAAATAGTGAAGGAAAAGCAGACAAGTAACAACTCAAATAAACATTCACAGTCATAATGTGTTCATATCTGTGGAAATTTTCTGTCTTTTGTTAATGTTAATCTTTGTTCTGAAAAAACATAGTTTTCATTTTAGAGATCTTTTCTTTTTTTTCCGTGACTGCACCCGGACAGAAGAACAGATTCATGACAAGTTACACAATGAATATGCAGCGTCACTAAAGCTTACTAAAACACAAATGCAGCATCTCCTCATGGTTAATGATCATTGTTGTCATTTGCAGAGATCCAGAATTTCTTCCGCCGTGGTTCTGCGACTGCGACCTCCCCATCTGATCAGACAGACTCTGAAAGCAAGAATGATGGTACACACACACACACACACACACACACAAGATGTACACAATGGGTATGTTTGGAAAGTACTAGCTTACTTACTGAACACTGTGCAGTGTAAAACTTGTTTGTGTGTGTGTGTGTTCAGCTGCTCCTGAGCCCCAAAAGGACCCGTTACTGCAGCTGGTTTCTCTCCAAAAGGCGTCAGGCTGCTGGGATCTGGACGCCACACTGGCTGATGTGTTTGGGAAGACGGAGGATGAGCTGACCAATCAGAAACCAGCACAGGTGAGAGTTGTGATGAAATAATAAGACAGTGATGATTGTGTGCAGTGTCCAGTAACAAATGCAGTGGATGATGGTTTGTACACAGGTGGATGGGTCAGTATGGGCCACTCTCCTGGCTCTGATCTGGTTATACGGCTGTAAAATAGAGCAGCAGGTGGAGTGGCAGTTTGTGGCCATGAAGGCAGCGTCATGGATCGGCTCTCAGAAAGGTGAGATCTCCATTCCAGACCACATTATCTGCAGATGACGCGGTTATTTTTACAACAGTTGCAGAAACACAGCGAGCGGCAAAATACATTGATACTTTTGCTAAAACGCAGCAGAAAACAACAATGCTGCAAATATATCTGATCGTTCAAACCAGGTTTGCGACATGACAATTTTTTGCATCTACATTTAGCAGTAATCAGCATGTTAAGAGCATTTTAAAATAAACATAATTGATATAATTGGGAAAATTATTTGTAGATGGCAAGGAAAGACAGCAAACTTGTTAACTTTGTTTTGATTATCATGTACATTGTTTGTTTGTGTTTAGTAGATACTTATTTTAAGCAAAAATGGTTCAAGAGGAAAACTCTGAACCCCGTACAGTATCTTTTCTGTCACATGGCCTTTTGCTGTACATATCTAAATGTTAAAATAATAATAGCTTGATAAATCATCTGATCTTACCTTTTAATATTCATATCTAATTGTGGTCAACTGATGAAATATTTTATTTATTAATTAATTTAATTAATTATTTTTTCATAGAAAAATCCTCAGATGTCACTGCTCTTTTGCTCTGAGAACCCAATATTCCTATATATATATATAAAAAAACATTCTGGACCTTTTAGTCACTCTTTTTTAACAAATATAAAGGTTTTTATTTATTGTGATTCTGTCATCAGAAAATTGTGTTTTGTCATTTAGGTCCATCCTAACCACATCATCCTAACCGTGAGCATAAAAGTAAGTGGTACCATGTGACAGTGATGTATGTGTGAATTAAATAATGTGCAATAAAACTCTTGGAAAAACAATTTTTACCTTGTCTTCATTTATTATCATTACTGTTCAAATTCACATATTTGAGATGTGGAAATTACATTGTGTTTGATATATTAGTGGATTTCTGAAAAAAAAAAATACAGAGTATTTTGTACATTTGTACAACAAATTGTACATTGATGGACATTGTTAAAAACATATATCTACTCAGAGTGAAAAGTGTATTAAGCGTGTATTTACTAAATTTTGTGAATATGAAATTTGGCAAGTATCAGTAAAAGACTGACATTAAAAGAATTACTATATAAAGTTATAAAAAACAAACATTTTAAACAAAGAAACATGCACAAGCAAATGGTCAGTAATAACATAACAGTAATACACAAGGCTTTACAAAATAAGTTAAATAAATGAAAATAAGTCTCTTCCAAAAGATAGGTAGTGTAGAATCGTTTTGACTGTAGCGTAAAGAGCTGTTTGTCTGAGTGTTTCTATTTGATTTTGTATCAGTTCACGTGATCACCCGGTAGGGGGCGGTAATGCAACAGGCGCTCCGCGATCACCGAGCGAAGAACAAGAATCAAAACTGCACTTAGAAGGGTCTTTGACATCACCTGCTTTCGCGTGAGTGATTGAAATGATAATTTACAGTTATTAATCAGTCGTTTTTTAATTGAAATCCAGAGCAGAGTGTTTAAATGGCATCAGGAAGCGCGCTGATCTTTGATGAGGAGATGAGCCGTTATAAACTCCTCTGGACAGAGTAAGTCACCTCATCACTTACTGGTCGCCTCTTACAAAAGTCTCATGCTATTATGCTATTGTTTTAGACATGATATTATGATAGTACCACAGCAGTTTTTATGTTTTTCATATCTGTGAATTTGTTTCAACCGTCTGTTAGTTTCATATTTTGTTATTCATTATAATTAAATGCCATTTCAAGATATTTTCGGTTCGTTTTAAAAATCGATTTCTGAAATGTGTTAAGATATGTGAAACTGACATCCATACACAATTAAATCCAAATGACAAATATTTGGTTTGCATTTTGTACTAGATTGCAATCAGATGTCAGGAATGAGCATTTTCAATACTAAAAACATAACTATTGGTTTCAAACATTAATTTTATTAGTGAGAAACAGGGTTATTATAGTTAACTAAATCTTAAACTGAAACCATAAAAAAACGTTACTTGAAATAAAATAAATGCTAACTGAAAAACAAGCTTATTTTATTTCAGCTAGCTGACAAAGCAACATTGCTCATTTTCATCTATTTGAACTAAAATAACTAAAAATAAACCTGAAATTAATAAAAACTAATTAAACAATAACTAATAAAATGACAAAAAACACTAAATTACTCAAATGAAAATGAAAATGGAAAATACAAAAATAAAAACAAATTCATAATATAAAAAAAAAAAACTACAATATTATCTCAATGATACTAAATTAACACAAAGTATTGTTATTATGTGTTTTTAGTAACCAAAGAGTAATAATTGCAGATTTAAAGGTGGGGTAAGTGATTTCTGGTACCCAATGTTGACATTTGAAATCACTAAAACAAACACGCCCCTACACCAAAAGGGTTTCGCCCCTATTTTGATAGCTCCACCCCACACATTCATACGCAACCCAGGCAACAAATAGTTCTGTGAAACAAAGCAAAACCAATGTTACACCGTGTCTACACCGGACGCGAGTGGCGCGGCGTGACAAAATACTATAGAACCCATTATAATCAGTGATGCTGTCTACACCATAGATATATATACATATCTATGGCCTACACTGGATGCGGCACGACACGACAAATCCCGACAGAAAATTGCTGCCGCATTCTATTAATGACATATTGACACAAATTTCAAATGATTTTCAACGGTCGCTTTGTCGCATCCAGTGTACTAGACAGACTTTAGCTGTTTGCGGCACAGACACGGTGTTACTCACTTATCGAGAAGGAACAAAGCAACCTCTGCGTCCGATCGCAGGCCTTCCGCTCCTTGAGTTCTCTCCAGCGCTGGAAAGCTGATCCGATATTTACACGGCTTCTTGCCTTAAGCTTTCTTTTGTTCCGCAGACGTTTTCCTCTTTTGTTTTTTATCCGCCATCTCTATCTTTCTGTCGCTCGGCTCGGACTGAACGCTCTCTCCTCCACATCCTGAGTAGACACGCCCCTTACTGTTGATTGGCTACAAGTTTGTTTTGCTAGTCGGCCCGAATCAGTTTTCTCAAGCGTTTTTGAAAAATCGCTTACCCCACCTTTAAGTCAATTATAAATAGGGTTGCAAAGGGGTGGAAAATTTCCGGAAACTTTCCAAAAATCCCTGGAATATTCAAAAAAAAAAAAATCCTGGAAAGTTTCCAAAATTTCTGGCATATTTCCGAAATTTACTGGAAATTTTCCACCTTTTTGCAACCCTAATTATAAAATTGTATTAGTTACTAATATCACTATCACTGATTTACTACATTTGCTTAATTTAATAATTCCATAGTTGATAGTGATAGACTGATTAAATCGGCTGATTTTTTTTTTTTTTGCTTGCTTGGCAGATTCTGTCAAAAACTCTTCCCAAAGGATCGACGTTGTCTGTTTTTTTTCACATTAATCTATTTTTTATTGCTCTGTCCAGTCCCGTCTGTGAGATCGAGGTGCCTGAGCGGTTCACCGTGTCTTATGAAGCACTAAAGACTCACGGCGTGGCAGAGCGGTGCAAACAGGTGCACACAGGTTTTCGAGTTTTGGCATGTGAACTTAAACCAGGCCCCATTTCTATTGCTATATGATTGAGTTTGGTTTCAAAATCTTTTGTGTTTACTTTAGTGAGGAATATCTGGAGGCCGTTAAACAGACTCCCAAAATGAGCGTGGAAGAGCTGATGGCGTTTTCAAAGCAGTACAACGACGTCTATTTCCATCAGGTAAGTCCAGAGCTTTGATGCTTGTTGGGTTCGGGTGACTGCAGACGTGAACGCTTCCGAACACAGTCTCTCATGTGACCGCAGAACATCTATCACTGTGCTACGCTGGCCGTGGGCGCCACACTGCAGCTGGTGGACAGCGTGATGAAGAGAGAGGTCAGGAACTGCATGGCACTGGTCAGGTGAGCACACAACTAACAGCTGCTGCTTTCGGGATTGGAAATAAATGAGCAGGGTGTCACTGAGATATCCGTCAAGAAGACCATCTGCTTAAAGGTGAAGTGTGTAATGTCTTACCCACTCGACGCTAAACAGATCTGCAATATGTTGCTTCGCTGGTTCTGTGAGTTTAAGGCAGGACTACTCTAAGTTCAGTCTGAAACTAAAACGAAACTTAAAGTAAACTAAAATGAAAGTGAAACTAAAAATAAAACATTGTTGTTGTTATTAACAATATAAATAATATATAATAATATTTACATGTAATGGTCTTCATTTAAATATTCATTTAATTATTTATTATTATTATTTACAATAATTATTAATACTAATATTAGTAATATGTAATACATCTTGAATGTAACATTTTAATTTAATAATACATTTAATTATGTATTCATATTGTTGTTATTGTTAGTATTAAAAATATTAATAATGTATACATTTAATATTTTGATTTCATACTATTTTTATTATTATTAACAATAAGTAGTTATGTTAATATTAAAAACTAATAGCATTAAATTACATTTAAACTTAGCATTAATTTAAAAATGAATGAATTATTGTTATTTTAGTATTAACAATATTAATAATGTATTAATTTAATAATACATTATTATAAGATTATTATTACTACTAGTACTAAGAATATTTAATTGTTAATATTAAATATTATTATTTAATAAAATTTACATTCAACATTTTAATTTAATAGTGAATTTAATATTCGAATGTCATTTTTTTATTAAAAAATATATTTAAATGTTTATTATTATAAGATAGATAAGAACATTTATAAAAATTTACTATTTGTAAAATAAAATATTTGTAATGAACGATTTGAATGGATTTTATTCTGTTAAAAAAACTAAATAAGTAGTCATCACTTCTGCATGTTTGTTATTGGACACTTAAATAGAAAATCAATCCATATTCATATTGGTCAGTGGACAACATAATATGTTAATCCCTATTTTTTAGTACCTCTTTTTTGTTCACTCCCCTCTTTTCTCTTTTTGTGACCTTCAGGCCTCCAGGGACACCACAGTCAGCGCTCCGCTGCGAACAGTTTCTGTGTGTTTAATAATGTGGCCATCGCTGCGCTTTATGCTAAGAAGACCTACAACCTGAACAGGTGAAGGGGTGTAACATCCTGCACTGCTGTACAACAAACACTAATTTACACCTGGAATACTCACTGAAGGAGAACTCAATATTACAGATTTTGCATAAGATCTTCCGTTTGTCATACAGATGAGTTTGAGCTTCTGGATCTTTCCAGGGTTTTGATTGTGGGCTGGGACGTCCACCATGGACAGGGTGTCCAGTACTGCTTTGAAGAGGACCCAAGGTGAGTCCATCTTCCTTCTGATGAACAAGATTGTTTACAAGCCTAGATGTCTCAATTTTCTGAAGAATCCTATGAAAAAGCCTATGAAAGATTTTATTTAATTGTATTTTATTATTTTATTTAACATTTTGTTGTATTATTTTTTAATTTTATTTTATAAATTAAAATTTAGTATTTTATCAAATGATTAAATTATTTATTTATTATTAAATTATTTCAATTAGATTTTTCCCACCTGTTTTATCATCCACTAGATAAAAACTCTAAAAAATTAAAGACATCTCCTCAATGAGCTGTGCAGATTGAGAAATTATTTATGTCCATAGCACATCCATTTTTCCTTAGTATGAGCACTCAATGTTTGTTTATTTCCTAGTGTGCTCTATTTTTCCTGGCATCGTTACGAGCACCAGACCTTCTGGCCCAATCTCCCTGAGTCAGACTACTCCAGCGTTGGGAAAGGCAAAGGATCCGGTTTTAACATGAACCTCCCCTGGAACAAGGCGAGTGAAAGCTGAATCAATGCTCAGAAACCATCAAACTCTGTCATAAATGTGTGTTTCATACCAGCAGTGCATGCCAATCAATTCAACATTTAATCACCCATTCTCACTGGTTACAATAAAAATATATTCTTTTTTAAAAGCAGATCAACTAAAATAATATTTAACAAAGATTTTCTATGCTGTGCTTGTTTCCTGCAGGTGGGCATGACGAACAGCGACTGATCTAGCTGCTTTCTTCCATGTTCTTTTACCCGCTGCGTATGAGGTACCTGTTGCACGAGAACAACCTTTAGGCCATTAGACTGTTTTCTGAGTGTCTTAGTCAAGCTAATGCACATTTCTTTTCTCTTTCAGTTTGACCCAGAGCTGGTTTTGGTCAGTGCTGGTTTTGATTCAGCCATCGGGGACCCAGAAGTAAGAGACTCTTTTTAAATCTGTGATTGTCTGAGCTCCTGACCTGAGATTTTCTATTCTGGATTCTGTTTGAAGAAACTGCTCAAAAATGAAAATTAGTGAGAATTTACTCACTCGCAGGCCATCCAAGTAGATGTAGATGAGTTTGTTTCTTCATCAGAACAGATTTGGAGAAATGTAGCATTATATGACTTGCTGAGCAATGGATTCTCTGCAGTGAATGGGTGCCGTCAGAATGAGAGTCCAAACAGCTGATAAAAACATCACAATAATCCACAAGTAATCCACACGAGTCCGGTCCATCAGTTAATGTCTAGTGAAGCGAAAAGCCGCATATAAGAAACAAATCCATCATCAAGACTTTTTAACTTTAAACCGTCGCTTCTTACCAAAATATGAATCCATAATACATAACAACGCTTACTCCAGTGAAAATGTTTCTCGTCTGGATAAGGAGAGAAATATGCTTAGATCAAGCACCATTTATTAGTGAAAACAATCCGAAACTGATCTAAACACATATTTTGGTGGATTTTGATGAGAGAGGACAACAGGATTTTTCACTGGAGGAAGCGTTAATATGAATTTTGGACTCATATTTTGACCAGAAAATGCCTTAATGATGGATTTGTTTTTTATAAACGCACAGTTTTTCGCTTCTCAAGATGTTAACTGATGGACTGGAGTGGTGTGGATTACTTGTGGATTATTGTGATGTTTTTATCAGCTGTTTGGACTCTCATTCTGACGGCACCCATTCACTGCAGAGGATCCATTGGTGAGCAAGTGATGTAATGCTACATTTCTGCAAATCTGCTTTGATGACGAAACTCATCTACATCTTGGATGGCCTGAGACTAAGTAATTTTTTCGATAAATTTAAATTTTTGGGTGAACTACTCCTTTAATCCTTGAAAGCTGCACCTGTCACAGTGTTTCCAAAAGTTTCTGCCATGTTTGATGGGCCGTATTGGTTGATCTCAGTTAACACTGCTGTCTGTTCTGGTTCAGGGTGAAATGTGTGCTCTTCCTGAGATCTTTGCCCACCTCACCCAACTGCTAATGCCTTTGGCTGCAGGCAAAATGTGCGTCGTCCTGGAGGTCAGTTATCATTATCACTTAAAATCTTTTTTTTTGTGACCTTAGAATGCCTTAATGTACTCTTACATGAATAAATTAATTATTATTTTTTGTTTGTGCAGTTTTGGAAAGCTGATGGAAACCTCTGGAACGTTGAACGACCTGCGTTTTGATGTTCAGTTATGGAAAATAGTCACTTTTTTGTATTTTGTAAATTTTGTATGGCATTAAAAATGAACCTGTTACAGGTTGTTTGACCTTGTTGCTTGTATAAGGTTTGTTTAGTTAGAAGTGAGCTAAATCTGACAAAACCTCCATTTGAGGATGTAAGCAAAATTTTAAATGTTATACATTTTGAATTATGTATTATAAACTGCTTGTTTTCCTCATTTGGATAAAAGCGTCTGCTAAATGAATAAATGTAAATAGATCAGTATTTTTTTTAGATGCAGAAAGTTGTCTTTTAGGGTTAATAATTATGACTAGCTTTATATAATAACAATAGATGTCTTCGCTAGGTGATGTGTGTTGTGTGTGTGTTTAGTTTCTTTCTATGACTGACTGTAAGGGTGTGGCTCAAGATGTTACGGCACTTTTCCAGATATGACTATGCCTGACTCGGAATATATCCACAGTGAATATTTGCTCATACTTCCTTTTTTTTAAAAACTAATATTACACTACCTCGGTGCTGCTTTCTGTTAAATTCTTCACCACACCCAGAGCAAAGGGTAAGTATGCAAAGTTATATTTTCTCATTTTCTGAATCTTTGTTTTTCATTATAAGACAGTTATTATCAAATAGTATTAGAGACATGCCCATTTTATCATCTATTTTCAATGGTTTGCTGTTATTTTTCATGATCAGTATTGTTGTTTATGGCATGTGATGCTTTTCCAAATGTCACCAGTTTATAGCTGTTTCCAATTGGATTAAAATCTTTAGAATCCTCAATTTAGAATCGCATTTAGAACTTTTTCTGTCTTACTGGTGATATTTGTGTTATCGTATAAGAGTATACTCACCTAAATCTATAGATTTTAATCAGGTTAGACGCCCTATTGAATTTCACAATGTTTTGTATGACTTTACAATGTTACGCTCTAGAGGTACTATATCATGTGATTTTCGAAACTAACAACTTTCAAACTGTTTTATGGTGATTTTGTCTACTGAAAGACTAAATATGTTTTGTCAGCTGAACTACTGGCCTCTTGTTAAACTACACTACAATCAATTGTACACACTGTACTTCTGTCCCTCACAGTCTCGTTTTCATTCCTGTTAAACATTAAACAGCGCTACACTGACTAATGGCTATTAATTCTTATTAATACCCGTTAAACATGCATAAACAAGTTCTTTACTCCCTATTAAATAAAAAAACCGATAATTTTCAGTAAACCGATTAGTCGAACAGCGCTGAGAAAAGTAACATGTACCACGTGACATCGCCGCTCATCCTTAGCACCGATCTAGACAATATTTTTCATATGATAAATGACACTGAGTAAATTTAATACCTAATTAATTTAAAGTACATCGTAAAAAGTTAAAACAGTAAAATAATTATTTTAGCAAGTTTCAGGCCGCTATGCCCCGCCCCGCCCCTTACAGACAATACTAATTTCCATTCTTCTCGCTCGTTCTGTTTCTGTGACTGAAGCCGCAGCGGAGCAGATGGCCGCGATTCCCACCAAACCGTCCGGACAGCCGGGCAAGATGAAGAAGGATGAGTCGCTGCTGGGAAAACTGGGGGGAACGTTAGTTCGCAAAAAGAAGCTGAAAGAAGGTAATGTTTTCCAGGATATTGTAACTTAAAGAAAAGGAGAAAATAATATATTTAGATGAGCACATCATGCCGTGATTGATTTTTATCGCTGTCCATGGTGTTGCACTTGATCAATATTCGAATTTATGAATCTATGAAAATGCTTCTTTTATTGCAGGATATTTAACCAATTGTATTATTTATATTAATATAAATAATTCTACTGGACTGGTGCAATGTTAGTTTTATAATGATTATGATTTACTCTTCTTATATCAGCATAACATAAGCTATATTGTGGTGTTGTTGTCTGGGACAGAAATATCCAGGTCAGGAGCTCAAGGTTATTCACATAAAAATGAGGTGGACTGCTTTGTCCTGTTTACTTATATTGTTTTAAACTCTCAAGAGTTAAAAATCTATCTATCTGCATTTTTGGTGAGTTATTTTGTATTTGTTATTTTGCATTTTTTGTATTTTAGTTTGTATTTTATTATGTATTTTCGATCAAACTCACCCCTTCCAGTCTCCATCTGTGTGAACAGCTGCACAGTAATGTTGTGTGTGTGTGTGTGTGTGTGTGTCATTGTGGAATAGAGTGGTTGTTGTGTTCTAACCTCCAGACAGTCACGCAGGAGTGACACGATGTGTTCAAGGCTCTTTAGTGACTCTTTTGTTCAGGAGGATGCTTTTTGGGAACTTTCAAAGAATCTTAATAGATTATTTAGTGCTTCAGTAAGTATTCAGCGCCATTGTAGCAGCCATGAAACGCTGAATTCTGGCCTGATAAAGTAAGATAAGCTTTGGCTGAAAGTCTGACGGTTATTTTGAGCTTGTGAATTCTGAATACTTTTGCAGTTTGAAGTGACTGCCCTGTTAAGTGGTTGATATAGTCTTTTGAGTGGGTGCCAGGGTGTTCTAAATGGTTGTTAGGGTGTTGCTATGGTGTTCAAATAGGTGTTTTCTGGTCAGTTGCTAAGGTGTTATGGATGGTTGTTAGGGTGTTTTGGCTGGTTGCTAGGGTGTTCTGAATAGTTGTTTGGGTGTTCTGTATGGTTGTCAGAGTGTTGCTAGGGTATTCTGGTTGGTTGTTAGGGTGTTACTAGGGTGTTTTGGCTATTTGATAGGGTGTTCAGGTTGGTTGTTAGGGTGTTGCTAGGGTTTTCTAAATGGCTGTTAGGGTGTTGCTAGGGTGTTCTGGCTGGTTGTTAGGATGTTGCATGGGTGTTCTGGATGGTGGTTAGGGTGTTACTAGGTTGTTTTGGCTGGTTACTAGGGTGTTTCAAAGGTGTTCTTAATAGTTGTTTGGGTGTTCTAGATGGTTGTTAGGGTGTTGCCAGGGTCTCTTGGCTGGTTGTTAAGGTGTTGCATGGGTGTTCTGGATTGTAGTTAGAGTGTTGCTAGGGTATTTTGGCTGGTTGTTAAGATGTTTCATGGGTGTTCTGGATGGTTTTTCGGGTGTTTTGACTGTTTGCTTGGTTGTACAGGTTGGTTGTTTGGGTGTTGCTAGGGTTTTCTGAATAGCTGTTAGGGTGTTGTGCTAGGATGTTCTGGCTGGTTGTTAAGATGTTTCATGGGTGTTCTGGATGGTTTTTCGGGTGTTGCTTGCTAGTGTGTTTGTTAAGGTGTTCTGGCTGGTTGTTAGGGTGTTGCTAGGGTTTTCTAAATGGTGTTAGGGTGTTTTGGCTGTTAGCTATGGTGTTCTGGTTGGTTGTTAGGGTGTAGCTAGGGTGTTTTGCCTGTTTGCTAGGGTGTTCTGGCTGGTTGTTAGGGTGTTGCTAGGGTTTTCTAAATGGTGTTAGGGTGTTTTGGCTGTTAGCTATGGTGTTCTGGTTGGTTGTTAGGGTGTAGCTAGGGTGTTTTGCCTGTTTGCTAGGGTGTTCTGGCTGGTTGTTAGGGTGTTGCCTGGGTCTTCTGGATGGTTTTTAGGGTGTCGTATGGGTGTTCTGGATGGTTGTTAGGGTGTTTCTAGGGTGCTTTGGCTGGATGCTAGGGTGTTCTGAATAGTTGTTTGGGTGTTCTGGATGGTTGTCAGAGTGTTGCTAGGGTATTCTGGTTGGTTGTTAGGGTGTTACTAGGGTGTTTTGGCTATTTGCTAGGGTGTTCAGGTTGGTTGTTAGGGTGTTGCTAGGGTGTTCTGGCTGGTTGTTAGGATGTTGCATGGGTGTTCTGGATGGTGGTTAGGGTGTTACTAGGTTGTTTTGGCTGGTTACTAGGGTGTTTCAAAGGTGTTCTTAATAGTTGTTTGGGTGTTCTAGATGGTTGTTAGGGTGTTGCCAGGGTCTCTTGGCTGGTTGTTAAGGTGTTGCATGGGTGTTCTGGATTGTAGTTAGAGTGTTGCTAGGGTATTTTGGCTGGTTGTTAAGATGTTTCATGGGTGTTCTGGATGGTTTTTCGGGTGTTTTGACTGTTTGCTTGGTTGTACAGGTTGGTTGTTTGGGTGTTGCTAGGGTTTTCTGAATAGCTGTTAGGGTGTTGTGCTAGGATGTTCTGGCTGGTTGTTAAGATGTTTCATGGGTGTTCTGGATGGTTTTTCGGGTGTTGCTTGCTAGTGTGTTTGTTAAGGTGTTCTGGCTGGTTGTTAGGGTGTTGCTAGGGTTTTCTAAATGGTGTTAGGGTGTTTTGGCTGTTAGCTATGGTGTTCTGGTTGGTTGTTAGGGTGTAGCTAGGGTGTTTTGCCTGTTTGCTAGGGTGTTCTGGCTGGTTGTTAGGGTGTTGCCTGGGTCTTCTGGATGGTTTTTAGGGTGTCGTATGGGTGTTCTGGATGGTTGTTAGGGTGTTTCTAGGGTGCTTTGGCTGGATGCTAGGGTGTTCTGAATAGTTGTTTGGGTGTTCTGGATGGTTGTCAGAGTGTTGCTAGGGTATTATGGTTGGTTGTTAGGGTGTTACTAGGGTGTTTTGGCTGGATGCTAGGGTGTTCTGAATAGTTGTTTGGGTGTTCTGGATGGTTGTCAGAGTGTTGCTAGGGTATTATGGTTGGTTGTTAGGGTGTTACTAGGGTGTTTTGGCTGGATGCTAGGGTGTTCTGAATAGTTGTCTGGGTGTTCTGGATGGTTGTTAGGTTGTTGCTAGGGGTTTCTGAATGGTTGCTAGAGTGTATTTGACTGGTTGCTAAGGTATCCTGGCTGCATGGTCTGTAATCAGAACTCTGCTGATTGGTGGATGTAGTTTGAAAACTCTAAGAGGAAATACAGTCATACATTTTTGATGAAAATTTGATGGTATGCTGGCAATTAGACAACAGACATTTAAGATCTGGAAATTTTCGAAGAGCCACAAAGATTTTATGTGTTGCAAAAAAACTTGAATATCTAATCCAGAATAGAATAGAATAGAATAGAATAGAATAAATTAGACAATGGACATTTAAGATCTGGAAATTTTCAAAGATCCATTAAGATTTTGTGTGTTGCAGAAAAACTTGAATATAGAGATGGTTGTTAGGTTGTTGCTAGGGGTTTCTGAATGGTTGCTAGAGTGTATTTGACTGGTTGCTAAGGTATCCTGGCTGCATGGTC